AACACTTCTCTCATGTTTATTGATTCAACGCTTTATCACATCATATATTTATTCAGTTTTTATAACTTTAACTAACTTTTACAACATTTGAATCACAAGTGCATTTTAAACCCAAACCTGCTTTTATTGCATTTAGATAAGGAATCCATACAATTAATTCAGACAGACGTGAGAATAATGTCATACAGTACTCAATACTAAACTAATATGATCTAGATTCTTGTACCATAGTTGACATAAAGTCTGCAAAAATGTATATTTAAATTATTTATGTTTATTTAAATAATCTGATAGACAATAATTTAGTAATTTATACATTATATAAAAATAATTTAATGTAATAGTGTAGCTTTTCGCATAGATTTGTTAAAATATAAAATATATTATATTGAATATACTGTAAGTTGTTTTAATGTGATACAAGTGTTTTGTATTTTTAAACACAAAACTATTTTTAATATAGATTTTGTTTGTGTTAAAAACATGCAATTTATTCATTAGGAATTTCCAAAATGAAAACAATATTAATAGTCTGTATTTTTATGAATAAAACATAAACGCAATTAAAATCGTCTGACTTGTTAATATTCAATGCCATAATGAGTAAAATAAAATAATTTCAAAATCATTATTTGTTATAATAGTTATTTTCTTACACATAGATTGTAATGAGAATATAATTAATTTGTTTAGACTTTTTTAATTTAATGAGTATTTTATTAGTAATCAATACTGTATATGAATTTCTTAATAAGTATTCCAACATTATATGCAATCATTGTTTTAATAAACTAAATATTGTGCATTTATAAACATATTCGTAATCAGAATTACTATTTTTATTGAAACTATAGTTTAATAGATAAATGAAAAACAAAACCAAAATTTCTCCTGAAATTCAGGGAACCTTTAACAAGGAATCTGTTTTAAGAATGGATAAGACATTGGATTCAAATCTAGTCATACCTTTCTGTGGCAATGATTTCTATAGAATCGGTTTATCTCTGTTTCCGTTTGGATCTTATAAAAGAAAATCTTTTTACAATCCATACATTGTATTCATCATTAATTTTGTTGCTTCACTCAAAATGTTGGTCGCATTACTAGTGCTTAATGACTGCGACAAAGACATTGCCCTTATATTAGGCGATTGGCAAGAAAATCTTTTTACAATCCATACATTGTATTCATCATTAATTTTGTTGCTTCACTCAAAATGTTGGTCGCATTACTAGTGCTTAATGACTGCGACAAAGACATTGCCCTTATATTAGGCGATTGGCTCTTCTTTATGCCCAAACAAATCCGATATCATTTAGTAATTGGTAACCTATTGTTTGCCTCAACTGCTATTGTCACACAAATCATACACTTTTGGTATTATAAGCAAGGAATCAGTCCCTCATATCTGAGACCTTTCCAAATGATGAGCGGTTGTGTGGCTCCCAATGCCATCGGATTAACACATCCCAGGGATGTCCGCGTTTTGGTCCGACACACATATTTGTGTTTGAAATGCACAGAATTCATAAGAATCACTGCTATCCCCAGCGGTATAATAGTGTCGGGCGTACCTCTTGCTATGGACGTCACACTCAAACAGTTTATATTTGTGGTCATTCCGTGGGTTATTATGTATACGGGTTTTGTATTTTTTTGCGCCGGTTTTCTCGTCTATCAAATCATTTATTTTCATATCATTTGTCTGTATTTAAAGCTGAAACTCAAGAGAATTAACACTCAACTGCAAGAAATATCAAAAACAAAAAACATTACAAACTTACACTTTTTGAGTGAATTGAATGACATTTATAAAGAAATTCTTGAATTTAATAATAATTTTTGGAGCGAATACTTGTTATGGATATTTATATTCGTAATGCCCACCTTAAATATAATGTTATTTTTCATTATATTTACTCAAAATATCGAGATACTATATAAGCTATTATTTGTATACATAGTGATCTTATATGTAATATTTTTATTATTCATTTTCCTGATGGCATCTTCAGTCTCATCAGAGGCTAACAAATCAGATGAGTATTTGAATCACATTTATGTCAACTCAAAGATGTCAGCTATGAATAAATTTAAGGTATAATTAGGTAGCTTTGTATTTATTTCTGATTAATATTTAATTTATTAAATAGTTATTGAAAATCATGGAAAGAACTAAAGAAAGAAACATTGGTTTCTATTTGTGGAAAATGTTTTTAATAAATAATAATAAAATACAAGAAGTAAGACATGAATTAAATATCAAGTAAAATAGTTATAAATATTAACGGAATGCCATTATTTATACAGATAATAGTGCTATCGATTGTGTTGTTTCTCAAAATCGTCGAAATCTCTCTTTGAATTGAAGAGTCGGAAACTTTGATCATTTGGTCCACTCTTATCTCATATAATCAATATTTAATGCTATTTATGATTTACAATACATTAATAGCTTAATTCTCGATACTTGTAATTATTATTGAAGATTATTACTTTTGTTAATAAAAAAGTATCATATAGAATTTAATTTAACTTGTTTGTACCGTATTTAATGTCATAATGAGTAAAATAAAATCATTTCAAAATCATCATTATTTTTTATAATAGTTATTTTCTTACACATAGAATGTAATGAGAACACTGTATAATTAATTTGTTTAGACTAGACTTTTAATTTAATGAATATTTTATTAGTAATCAATATATGCATTTCTTAATAAGTATTCCAACATTATATGCAATCACTAATACAATTAACTAAAACTCATTATATCTATGTTTGTAAATGTGTTCTTAATTTATTTTCTTAATTTTATTTATTTAATTTGTGTTCTTAAAATATTACTTTATTTTCAAACTGTAAGAAATTAAGCTTAAAATGAAAAATCAAATCAAAATTTCTACTGAAATTCACGGAATCTTTAACAAGGAATCTGTTTTAAGAATGGATAAGACATTGGATTCAAATCTAGTCATACCCTTCTGTGGCAATGATTTCTATAGAATCGGTTTATCTCTGTTTCCGTTTGGATCTTATGAAAGAAAATCTTTTTATAATCCACTCGTTGTCTTCACCGTTATATTTGGTATTTCCATCAAAATATTTGTCACATTACTATTGCTTAACGAAAATGACAAAGAGTTGGCCATAATTTTGGGCGATTGGCTCTTCTTTATGCCCAAACAAATCCGATACCATTTAGGAACCGCTAATCTATTGTATGCCTTAACAGCTATTGTCACACAAATCGTGCACTTCTGGTATTATAAGCAGGGAATCAGTCCCTTATATCTGAGGCCTTTCCAAATGATGAGCGGTTGTGTGGCTCCCAATGCCATCGGATTGACACATCCCAGGGATGTCCGCGTTTTGCTCCGACAGACCATTCTGTGTTTGAAAGGTACAGAATTCATAAGAAGCACTGGTATTCCCTGCGGTATAATCATATCGGGTTTACCCCTGGCTATGAACGTCACACTCAAACAGTCTATATTTGTGATCATTCCGTGGGTTATTATGTTCACTGGTTTTGTTCATTTTAGCGCTGGTTTTCTTCTCTACCAAATTGTCTATTTTTATATCATTTGTTTGTATTTAAAGCTTAAACTCAAGAGAATTAACACTCAATTACGAGAGATATCGCAATCAAAAGGTATTAAAAATGTAAACTTTTTGAACGGATTGAATGCAATTCATAAGGAAGTTATTGAATTCAACCAGACTTTTTGGCGTGAATATTTATTATGGATATTTATCTTGATAATGCCTTGCTTAAATCTAATGTTATTTTTCACTATATTTACGGAAAATGTTGAAATATTCTATCGATTATTATTTGCATATTTCGTGATATTGTTTGTAATGTTTTTATTATTCATTTTCCTGACGGCCTCTTCGGTCTCATCGGAGGCCAACAAATCAAATGAATATTTGGATCACATTTATGTCAACTCAAAAATGTCTACAAACAATAAATTAAAGGTATATTTAGATATAAATTTATTAATAACTTATATGTCATTAATAAATAATTTATTGAAAAGTTGTTGAATTTTATGGAGAAAACCAGCGAAAGAAACATTGGTTTCTATTTGTGGAAAATGTTTTTAATAAATAATAATAAAATACAAGAAGTAAGACATGAATTAAATATCAATTAAATTATTAAAATAGTTATAAAAATTAACTGAATGCCATTACTTGTACAGATAATAGTGCTATCGATTGTACTGTTTCTTAAAATCGTCGAAATCTCTATTTGAATTAAAGTTTCGATAACTACGGTATAATACAATGATATTTAATGTTTTTTATCTTATGGTTTACTTCTATAATACATAAATAGCTTAATTTTGAATTATTATATCAATAATTAAGATTGAAAGATTATTAATAAAACAGTAGAATAGGAAATTTAATTTAAAAATGTAATGAATAAAAAAATAACTCTTTTATTACTGTAATAATGAAATGTTTGAACAAATGAATGACAATCACATGGAAGCAAAGACATCGCTCTCTTCATAACTAATAAGACTTCTCTTGTCTTTGAGTCCACTCTTCTAAAAAAATAACTCTTTTATTACTGTAATAATGAAATGTTTGAACAAATGAATGACAATCACATGGAAGCAAAGACATCGCTCTCTTCATAACTAATAAGACTTCTCTTGTCTTTGAGTCCACTCTTCTGTGAATAAGTGGCGGCTATTGTAGACCACACGTCAGGTGCGGCCGACGAGTGAGCGCCTAAATCAGTCGTCTCAGTCTTGGGGACGACTGCCGGCTGTCTTCGCGCCAACATTACCTTCAATTGGATCCCATTCACAGACTTCTTATTCATCTCATCGATGGCTTTGTTCGCGCTTTCAATTGAATCAAACGTAACGAAACCACAACTAATGACCAGAAAATGCATTAAAATCTAGACATCAATCAATTTCATGACTTTCAAACTCAATACTTCTTATCTGATTCGGAAGTGATGTTCAAAATATTGCCGAAAATGGAGAAACCGGTCCTCAGTATGGACTCATTGACACCGAATCCGTGGACGTAAATAGTGTTTCCCGTTTGTGGTGTATCTCTGTTCACATAATTTGCTTTACCGTCCCTTCGCTTCTCTCTGAAAGTCTCTTCGCGAGCAATGGATTCCGGGTCTCGAGAGGACACAAAACTCTCGTAAAGAGGTTTCACACGAGTCGATGGCATGTCCTCTAAGGCCACTGAAAGACAGACACAAAACTAATTATTAGAGATATTCTGTGAGACAATTAAACTCATGATTGAGACCATTGTCCTCATCGGTGGAGTGGGACATATGGAAGGGCTGATAGCCTCCGGGTTTGTCTGCACCGCCGCATCGCTTCCTCTCCAACGCCTTTCTAGAGAACTTGGGGCTCACGACAGATAGGAATGACAGCCCGGGAGACTACCGTACCTAAAACGGCCTGAAGTCGTTGAAAAACCGGTGAAGAAACCGCAGGCAAGGCGAGAGACTACAGGAAAACTTGGTCGGTTGGATGGGTTGGGGCTCAGGTTTGGGCGCTTTCATGGCCTGCAATGCCTTCTTCTGCGGTCACCACAAGACAAACAGTTTGAATCAATTATCACCACAACCGACAAGTCGTGACACAAACCTTTCGTTTGAGTTTTTGATACTTCCTCTGAAGCATCAACTCTTCGTCCGTCAATTGGGTCGGGATCTGAATGAAAACCATTGCCTATGAGTTGATAATTGCTGTGATTTTACACACAATTTACAAATCACTTGACATTCAAAGCAATGTTTTTGTTTACAAATTCATTTCAATGTTTTGAAACCAATGTTTGGAAAAAAGGGCATAAATGTAACAATAACTCAACCAAAAGAATGCCTTTTTTGCAAAATATTGGTTGCAATGCTGACATCTATTACTGAACCACTTCTCAATGAAATAAACTTCAGATTTAAGTCCTATTGATATAAGCAATCAAAAAGTTTTGATAAATGGTAACAATTTAAATAGAAATAAATAAATCATTTTATTTGTTAACTAAACATTTCTTTTAAATTTAAGACAACATATAAAAAGTTAACTCAATTATTACGGCAATGATTTGGATTTAGAGTAACTTACGATACAGAACTTTAACAGGGCTATAACTCTGTTGTGAACGACAGCCGCGAATTATAATCGCCAAGACCAGAATTCAAACAGGTAAACAAACCGCTTTTCCGTAAACAGTGTCGGAACCATTTCCGACAATTTATTCAGATCTGTGTAGGCTTGGGAGTATAACAGCTTTCGTTACGGTTGGGATAGCAACTTCAACAGTAATTTCTGGCCTTAAGCACATATAGAAACTGATTTTACACAGTTTTATCACTTGAAGCGCAAGTATAGAAAACCCACAGCTATGGCCTCGGATGTGGTGCTGTGGCTCTTGAGTCGCGCCTCATCCACGAGCAGGTCCTCCATCGACGCCTCGTGTATCAACAGATCACAGTTGTGGCCAATTGTGGTGAGCGTAGGGGTGGGCTGTGTGTCGCCTGAATATACAATTTTAAAGTTTGGTTCACTTTTTGTGGTAAACGAAAGGCCGTAACTGTCCGCACAGTGCGGCACCAAACAGGTCCTCAACTCATTTAAACGCAATCTATTCAACACTTTGTCATCACTTTCTGTCATAAATTTCTTGATATCAATAATTTCATACAAATGTGATATCTGTTCCACAAATTCGTTACAATTCTGGAGCCAATTAATCACTTCCGGCGGTAATATCAGTAACAATGGCTCGCGTGTGACAAGTGATCGCTGTTTCAAGAACTGTAGAACTCCTAAGTGATGATCGCCGTGAAGATGACTCACGTAAATGGCTTTCAATTGTTTTAATCGTGAATCACATTCTTTGCCATAGAATCGGGACAACTGTCCAAACGTTCCTTCGCCGCAATCCAATAGCAAAGATGTCTCTGAATCCATGTTAACCCAAATGCCACTCATATTCCGCATTTTGGATGGAACTGAACAACCAGTTCCTAGAAATATGATTTCCGGATAGTCTTGTGTTTCAGTAACTAATTGTGATTCAAGTGAATGGTATTTATTAAGACTTTCCATAAACTTGTTGTTAGAAAAGGCCTCTTCTCTGAAAGCGTTGACATCAATGTCCACAACGGTGAGCCTTAGTTTAGGAGACTGTAGGCTACCGGAGTTTACTATAAATCTATTTCAAAAACGTAAACTAACTATTCGAACACCATACAGAAGTGAAGCGTGTGTTAGTTCATTACCTTTATACTTACAATCGATTAGATTGAGTTGAATCTGGAGTTGATTGGCTCCCACGTGACTCTGCTTAGGATTATCATCATTCAAAACTAAGTGATCCACTGAATCACCCAAACGTCTCATCCATTGCTGGTATCTCTCATCAGTGAACACATGGTTTGGCGTGAAGTGCATCACAACTGAAACCAAATCCGAGGACAGATGTTGAAGAATGGATTCGTTTGAAAGTAAGGAATCAATGTATTGAAGGGATGGACACTCAAGCACTATAAAAATGGGTCCCTTATCTTCAGGTCCCACTAAATCCTTGGAACAAATGACTCGATTATCTGATAAGACAATGTCTTCACCGGATCTAAGTTTGTCCAAAAGTGGACCGGGAGGTAGCTTTAGTTCAATACACTTCTTAACCAACAGCTCTCCCGGTCTGTCCTTTAGTTTACAGATATATACGAATGAGATATCGTTTGGATCTTTTGATAATGTTTTCGATGTCTTAACACTATTCTCGACCGCAACAGAAGGATAAATGGGTACACATTTGACCAC